TGATCCACATCCATGCAACAATGACATCTATTCAACTATGTTCATAGTAGCATTATTTGTAATAGCAAGAACCTGGAAGCAACCTAGAAGCCCCTCAACTGAAGAATGGATAAAGAAGACGTGGCACATTTACACAATGGAATACTACTCTGTGGGGAAAAAAACAAAAAAACAAACAAACAAACACCAATAGAATCTTGAAATTCGCAGGCAAATGGATGGAACTTGAAGAAACCATCCTGAATGAGGTAACCCAGTCACAAAAAGAGAAACATGGTATGTACTCACTCATATATGGATTTTAGACATTGAGAAAAAGAGACCAGCCTATAATTCACACTGCCAGAGAATCTAGGATACAAGGAGGATTCTAAGAGATTCATATAAGGTCCCTCACAGGAGAAAGGAACAAGATCTCCTGAGCATATTGGGAGTGGGGGGGGGGCAGTGAGTGGAGAGGGGGCTAGGAGAAAGAGAAGGGGAGGAGAGGAAAGCATGTGGGACTAGGAAGATTGAGTCAGGGGAAGAATAGAGGACAGAAGAGAGAGAGAGAGAGAGAGAGAGAGAGAGAGAGAGAGAGAGAGAGAGAGAGAGAGAGAGAGAGAGTAAAAGAGGGAGCCATTATAGGTTTCAAAAGAAAACTTACTTTACAGAAATGTCCAGAGACCTACAAGACTGACCCCAACTAACAATTTGAGCAACAATGGAAAGGCTACCTTAAATGCCCTTCCCTGATAATGAGATTGATGACTAACTTATCCACCATCATAGAGCCCTCATCTAGTAGCTGATGGAAACAGAAGCTGACCACAGCTAAACACTGAGCCAAACTGGAATCCAGATGCAGAGGGGCTATAGACTAGGCCAAAGAAACCCACAGAGACAGCTGACCTGAACAAGGGAGAGCTAATGAACCTCCAGACTGATAACTGGGAAACCAGCATTGGACCGACTCAGATCCCCTGAAAATGGGTCTCTGTTAGAAGGCCTGGACAGTCTAAAGAACCTCTGACAGTGGAACCCAGATGTTTCCCTGATATACAAAAGACTATGGGAGCACATTCCCCATGGAGGGATACTCCCTTACCTAGAGGCAGGAGGGAGGACCTAGTCCCTACTCCAAATGACTTGACAGATCTTGTTGATCCTTCCTGGAAGGCATCACCCTCCCTGTGGAGTGGGGGTGGAATGGGATGGGAGGGTTCTGGTGGGGGGCATGAGAGGATGGGAAAGAGAGTGGGAGAAAGAGGGAACTGGGATCGATATGTAAAATAAGAAGAATCTGTTTAAAATTCATATTTTTAATAGTGACAAATAAAAAGTTATTTGTAAAAAAAAAAAGAAGTCCATTTAGGTGTTATAGGGACAAGTTTCTCCTTTTGGCAACCTGCTGGTGAACAGTTTCCAGACCATTGAGTATAGGTCTCCTAAACCTTTGAAATCTTTTTCAATCAGCAAAATATCTTTATTGATTTGTTGGGATAACCTTTGATATCTTAACATAACAACAATATAGAATGGGAAATAAATCTGAAACAGTTTTACATTACCTTAAATCACTTTTTTATACGTTTGGAACTTTTATTTTACATGCCTTAAAACACTTTCCTATACCTTCAAAACTTTCTTAAGCCCTCACATCCTCAGACATTAATACGTTTTCCTAGACCCTTGGAACTTACTGAAGCTCTCCAATAGCTTCACCTGGGCTCTCTGTAGGTGCTTCAGAACTTCCACACAGTGCCAGGCCTCAGTTTCTCCCCATGTCTTACTATTATTATTAATCTATTTTTTTACATTCCAATCCCAGTTCCCCTCCATCTCCTTCTTGGGGGGTGGGTGGGTAAGGCCTCCCCTAGAAAGTCTACTAAGTCTGTCTCCTCATCTTGTTGAGGCAGGACCAAGGCAGCTCTCCATCCCTCCACACACACCCTGTGTCTAGGCCAAGCATGGTATCTCTCCATATTCTCCCCATGTCTTTTTTCATAATCTTCATGTCTTTTTAAAACTAATACCACCTAGGTGACGCTTATATTAGAAAGTTTGAATACCTGTATGAGGTACATTCTTTCACAAGTACATGGAGGTGTAGTTTAATAATACCTTACTAAACAAATATTTTTCTTTCATAAACACCACTTTTGATTTTTGTTTTAACCATGAGGCGTTAATAAAACCAAAGTCTGTGGAGGAGAAGAAGGACTGCTCAATGGATTTCACTGGAGGGAGTTTCTATAAACTCCAAGTGGGACCTGAGAGGCAACAGAGAGGCCCAGGAGAGCAGAGAGAAGTTGTGAGACTTCCAGAATGGAGCTGAGAATTGCCATGATCGTGGTGTCTTTTCATAGCAATAAAACCCTAAGGCAAAAGCTGGTACCAGGAATGCAATAGGCCTGCCCATGCTTTTGTTTGGAGGGATTTAGACTTTAGGAGTTTGGGTTAGGAAAGCAGTGGAAGGCTTTAAGTGCTGCTTAATGGACAAAGTAGAGACATGGAGGGCAGTGGTGCTGAGGGTGATTTGAACTGTGGGGGCCTGACTCAGTGGTTTTGGAGGAGAAGAATTTTAGCATGTTGCCTAGAGATCATTCTTGTGATATTTTGTTGAAGAACGTGACTGCTTTTTGCCTTCTGTGAACAGTCTGGCTGAAACTAAAGGGAAGAAGTTTTGGATTAATTTCCTTGGTAGAGGAAATTGAAAACTATCCTAGTATGGATTCTGTCTTGTGGTTATTATTGTTACCTATAATGAATATTTATAATGAAAGGGAACAAGCTGAGCAAGTAAAAATACAAAATGTACAAATTGAGGAGAAAAGGAGCACTGTGAGGAAAAATGGAGCTATGTCCTGTGTTCAAGTAGATAAATAAACACATTAAGAAATGGAATAAGCTTGGCATTGGTGGCACACGCCTTTAGTCCCAGCACTCAGGAGGCAGAGGCAGGTGGATCTCTGAGTTCGAGGCCAGCCTGGTCTACAGAGCTAGTTCCAAGACAGGCTCCAAAACAACACAGAGAAACAGAGAAACCCTGTCTCAAACAAACAAACAAACAAACAACAAAGAATAAAGGTAGTGCTGGCCTCAGGGCAACATCCCACCCAGCTAAATTTCCAATTTGTGACAAAGAATTAAAGAAAAGCTTAGATCCAGGAATAAAGGTGCATGCCTTTAATCCCTGCACTGGGAAGGCAGAGGCTGGCAGTCTCTGAGTTTGAGGCCAGCCTGCTCTACTGACCCAGTTCTGGTCAGATAGCCTTAGGCAGTGAAGGCTAGAAAGCACGCTAAAATGTAAATTATTAAGGAGGCCATGCTCCAGCTCCAGAAAGCAGCAGAACTCACCAGCTTGGCCACATGATTCTGGTTTCAGAGCTAAGGATAGAAGAAACAGGTTTATGAAATTTTCCTCCATGACTAAAGTAAACAATTGAGGCCAAGCATGTGTCAGAGATGTCCCTGAGTGAAGGCCTAGTAGAGAGACCATTGCATGAAGCTGTGAAGTTGAAGCCTGGATTTCCTTGGAGACCCCAAGATGTTAGAGGTCTGGACTCATGGGATGCCTGCTAAGAAGAGCTGCTAACAGGGAGTGGAACCAGATCAAGAGAAGTGTGTGGCAGTCCACAAATCTGGACAGAGCTGGAGATCTGACATGGAGATGCAGAGTTTGGAGTCTGCTCACCTGGATTTCGGCCGTGCTTTGGTTCAATATTTCCTCAGTATGTGCCATTTCCTATGTTTTCTAGGGTATTATGTTTCTTGTACTATTCTATGTTGGAAGCATGTGATCTGTTTTTTATTTTTATTTTGTAGGGCCTTACAGTTAGAAGATTGCATGAATCTCAGAAGAGACTTAGAACTTTGTTGGAAACCAGACAACCTGTTTGAACATGCCTGAAAGGGGGAGTGAGGATTGAGAAAGGAAAGAGACAAAAGGTAGGAGATAGAGTTGGGAGGGCTCTCAGTAAATACTGCAGATGCCTCAAATTTATTTTACACAGCACTTTTACATACAAAGCAAAAGGGGAGGGCAAGGGATGATAAAAGGAACAAGCAATTGTAATTACTTCCTTAATCCTCAAAGCATGCAGTAACCATACCATTGCTAAACATCCTGCCATTAGGCCTCAAGGAGTAAAACATCTAGTAACCATGACTTAGATCCAACATCCTGTTATCTAACCTTGAGGATCAAGAACAGCTTTGAGCTCTCTGACCTTAAGTCAAGATGAAACAGAATCAAATCTGTGGGCTTCCACAGAACTTTGGACTTTTAAACATGTTGAGACTGTTATAAACTATTTTTAGGTTGGACTAAATGCATTTTTCAATATGATATTGTTATAAGCATATGTGAGCCAGTAGTGGAATGAGGTGGTTGGCCCCCATAATCTCATATGGAGTGGCAATAGGAGGTGTGGTTTTGTTGGAGTGGGCATGGTCTTGTTAGAGGAAGTGTGTCATTGTGGGGCAGGCTTTGAGGTTTCCTATGCTCAGGATACCACCCAGCATCTCAGTTGACTTCTTGTTACCTGGAAGATGTAGAACACTCAGCTCCAGCACCACGTCTGCCTGCATGACACCATGCTCACCATCATAATGATACTTGATTGAACCTATGAAACTGTTCAGTGAGCCACTCCAATCAAATATTTATATGAGCTGCCATATCATGGTGTCTCTTCACAGCAACAGAAACCCTAGACACTGTCCAAATCGCTTTTGGTCATGGCCTTCATCACAGCAATAAAAACCTAAGTAGGACTGTGAGTCTTCTAGAGAGGACCTTTCATCCTGAGGTAAGAGTCACTCTATGAGAAGAAAGCTGCAAGGCATATCATTTTGATTCGATTGAATCTCAGATGTAGATTCAAAGAAAGCATGGAAATAGAAGCTAAAGGGGCATGGCATATAAGGTAATCTCTTGAACTTTAAACTCCACATCACAGTATGAATTGGTTCAAAGATAAGAAGTAGAATAAATTCTCTCTTGTGGATAGGACCGAATCTCTGCTTTCCCAGAGGCACACACAGCTGAGATCATGGCATTTGATGGTACTTGGAAAGTAGACCGGAATGAGAACTATGAAAAGTTCATGGAGAAAATGGGTAAGACTGTCTACCTGGGCGGCTCATTATTTGCTTTCTCCTGTCTGTTCCTTAGGGAACATCTGGTGATGTATAAGTCTCCAGGTGTGGATTGTACAGGGCCAGGAAATCCATATTCACACTCTCTGATTTAGGAAGAACATCTTATCTCTCCAGGGCAAGTGTTAGAGCCCCTGTGTTTTCTTCCCTTGCCTATTAACTGTGCTTATGTAATTAAAAACTGACGTGTGTGTGTGAGTTATGATAATTTCCAGGGTAAAATATCACTAGATTATTGGGGGAAAAAAGCAAGGATCTTTCAAAACGGTAAGAAAAGAGTTTTATCAAAACTCTGCTTGAATAAATTCTATGAAATTCTCTTTTCTGACTTATGTAACTTCAGGAATAACCACAGAAAGCTGTGTAGTCTTTGTGGATGTATAATTTGACTGTATTATAAATGTCTACTAATATTCTGGCAACCCACTACAAAACTGGGTACAAATTGTGTGTCATTTCCCAAAATAAAACCTGCATAAATATGGTGTATAATTTAGGGTTTCTGAATTTAAGTTTATGATATCTGTACATTCATGTTATAATGACTTTCATCATAAAATCTCTAATTTTTCTGGCTTGCAACCAATCAGAAATGCCATAAATATAAATATAACTATGAAGCAAGCAAAGCACGGTGCTATATGCCTGTGATCTTAACACTTTGAGAGTGAGACGATTGTGAATTAAAGGCTAGCCTAGGCTATCTGGCAAGTTTGAAGCCTCCCTGGGTTTAGATCAAGACCCTGTTTCAACAACAACAGCATTTTAAAAATGCAATTTTGAAAGCAAAGTAGTGTTGAAAATGAATAAACATTCAGAATTGAACTTGTGTTTCTTTAATCTATGAATATACCTTTTAATATTCCACTTGCCATTGCTGGAATGTGATTGAACTCTGAAGCAAAGTTTGTCAATCTTGTTAAAATGGTCCAGGGCTGAGGTGCTACAGTTTGCTGCTTCATTTACATTTTCTTAGTTTGGAAAAGCTGCTTGAAGCAGTTCTCTGGGTCTGCCAGAGCTTCCCCTTTCTCTGAAAGCATCCCAGTGAGGCTGTGCACACAACACTATTTGCTCTTTCTTCTCCACCCACAAAACAAGCATGAGTAACAAAGACAGAGTTTAGAAAGGGAAACACTCTCCGTCGCATTTCCATTTCTTGTTCCCTCCAACCTCTTGTTTTGCAGGCATTAATGTGGTGAAAAGGAAGCTTGCAGCTCATGACAATTTGAAACTGACCATCAAACAAGAAGGAAATAAATTCACTATTAAAGAATCATGCAGGTTTCGAAACATTGATGTTGTGTTTGAACTTGGTGTTGAATTCAACTATACTCTAGCAGATGGAACTGAACTCAATGTAAGACATTTTTTATAGCAATGCATTCTTGATTATTTTTACCAATACAAAGTAGTTTATCTCATGGAATGGTTCAACTAATGTAACCCCTCTACATTTATTGAAGAGGCCAATGAAGTCTGTTTGTATTTAATTTTACACACATCATTGGCAATTGTCTAAATATAACATTTTATTGTGATATGTATCTGTGAAAATGATGCTGAACAATAAGATTTATAATAATCCTCTTAGATGGATTAAGAACAGTGATAATTAAGGACAAGGAAATGTAATGTTCAGTATTTTCAACTTTTCATGCTAGGAGACAACAAGCTTTTAGTGTTCATACTATTCAAACACAATAAGTGTTTATACATGTAGTTGGACAACAAACTGAGAAGCAGGAATGTAGCTGAACCAGGAGTCTGTAGTATGCACAAAACTCTGGGTTGTGTTTCTAGCACTGTATAAAATCTGGGCATGGTCACACACCTGTAATGCCAGGACTTGGGAACTGGAGTCAGGATGATCATAAATTAGAGTAAGTTTGAAGTTAGCTTGGGCTACATGAGCTTTCATTAAAAAAAAAAATGATTAAAAAACTAATGAGTGGGTGAGTAGCCAAATGTGAAGGTCTAAATCATGGTAGGTCATTAAGAATGTCCCTTTCACCAAACATTATTTAGAGCTCAGGGAACTCGGTGGAAGAAGATGTGGGGAAGGATTGTAGGAGCCAGAGGGGTCAAGGACACAAGAAAACCCACAGAATCAATTAACGTAGGCTCATAAGAGCGCATAGAGACTGAACTAACAATCAGGGAGCCTTCAAGGAACGGTTCTAGGCCCTCAGCATATATGTGACAGTTGTGTAGTTTAGTCTTCTTGTGGGACTCCTAACAGGGGGAGCAGGGACTGTCTCTGACTCTTGCCTGCTCTTGTAACTCTTCTTGTGCTGGGTTGCCTTGTCCAGACATAATAGGAGAGGTGTCTAGTCTTACTGCAACTTGACATGCCAACTTTGGTCAATATCAATGGAAGGAGTGGATGAAGGGTTTTTAGGGGTATGTTTCCCCCTCCCCACGCCGGTCTGACTCCACTGCCATGCCAGCCCCAAATAATACACTGAGACTCTGTATTTGATATTATGCTGTTGGCCATTTACTTGTTTCTTATCAGCTAGCTCTGTCTTAATTATTAACCCATTTCTATTCATCTAAGTGTTTGCACATGGTCTCATCTTACTGGAGAGTAGGGCTGCTGTTCTGGTCTCTCCAGTCTCCACATGCTGACTCCTCCCTGCTACTTCCTCTCTCCTTGTCTCCTAGTCCTGCCTATCTTGCTTTCCTATTGGCCAACAAACAGTGCTTTATTCATTAACTAATAAGAGAAACATATTTACAGGATGGCATCTCCCATCAAAGGGTGGGGTGCACTGGGAGGAGAGGAGGGAGGGGAATCTTTGGTGAAACAAAAAAAAAGAATGTCACTTTCACTGGTTATTGGTGGCACACACCTTTAATCCCAGCACTTGGGAGGCAGAGGCAGGTGGATCTCTGAGTTTGAGATCAGCCTGATCTACATAGTGAGTTCCAGAATGGACAGGGCTACACAAAGAAACACCGTTTTGAAAAACCAAAAGGAAAAAAAGGGGGGGCATTGCCTCAACGTTTTTTTTCTAGTTAAGTATGTTTGCAGTGACGTACGTATGCGTGCGTGCGTGCGTGCGTGCGTGCGTGCGTGTGTGTGTGTGTGTGTGTGTGTGTGTGTGTGTGTGTGTGGTGGGTGCACATGCATCTCACTGAACCTGGAGGTAGGCTGGTGGCCATAAAGCCATCTCTGCTCTCTACAGTATGTAGGCATACGTGAACACACCTGGCTTTTTACATGGATTCTGGGGATTTCATTCAGTTCTTCATGCGTCTGTTGCAAGATCTCTCACCAGCTGAGACATCTTGTCAGCCCTGCAATGACAGTATACCCACTGCATGTTTTATTACTAATGATAATCACTTCTCGTCTGCACTTAGTATATAGCAGTGGTCAGCTGAGTGGTGCTTAGTGTTCCCAGCACAGCCTTGACTCCCACTGCTCACGTCTAATCCTCTTTCTGATGTCTGAGGTGTTGCTGTGTCATTGCACAGTCTCCATACATGTAAAATGGAGGCAATGTATTACTCCACATAGTCCACAGGGTCACTGAGTGACAATGTGTGTCTATGAACTGGGAATTTTGTTAGAGACATGTAAGACTATAATAAATGTTGCCTAATTATTGTGATGCAGGGGACCTGGAGCCTTGAAGGAAATAAACTTACTGCAAAATTCAAACGTGTAGACAATGGAAAGGAGCTGATTGATATCTGTGAAATTTCTGGTAGTGAATTAATCCAGGTAAGTTGTAAGAAATATCTCTAACTACATTCCAAAGACAAAAATGATTATGAGCAAGAATTTTGTCACTGTGGGTTATTCCCTGTGGTGGTTTGAAAGCAAAGGGCTGCCATAAGGACTGGTGCTATTAGGAGGTGTGGCTTTGTTGAAGTAGGTGTGGTCTTGTGGAAGAAAGTGTGTCGCATGGGGGTGGGTTTGAGATCTCCTTTGCTCAAGCTATGCCAAAAGTAACACTGAGTTCACTTCTGTTGCCTCTGATCAAGATGTAGAACTCTCAGCTGCCTCTTCAGCAGCATGCCTGCCTGCATGCCTTCATGTCCCACCATGATGATAATGGAAACTCTGAAACTGGAAACTAACCCCAATTAAATGTTTTCCTTTATAAGATTTGCCATGTTCATGGTATCTCTCTACAGCAATTAAATCCTAAGACACAGCTTTAATAAGTAAACTTAATTATTTCATATGTGTGAATGACATCTATTTATTGAGGAGTATTTGCATATATATATATATATATATTTACATATATATATATATATTCATCTGATGAAGGAGTTTCTGTCCTACCTGGTCCAACAGCCCTTTAGTCCCCAATAAACACACAGAGGCTTACATTTATTATAAACTGGCTGATGGCTCAGGCTTCTTATTGGCTAGCTCTCTCTTAATTATTAACCCATTTCTATTAATCTGTATATCTACACATAGTGTTGGCTTACTGATGATGACTGGGTCTCTAGCTTCCTTGTCAGCTACTGGCATCTCTCTAGCACTGCTTCTGTCTGCCTTCCTCTTCCCAGAATTCTCTTAGTCTGATAGCTCTGCCTATACCTTTGCCTGGCTACATCCTGTTTGCTCACTGGCCAAAACAGCTTTATTCATCAACCAATAAAAACAAAACAAAACAAAAACCCCATATATTCACAGCATAAAAAGGTCATCCACCATAATATATCAATTCTCATTTTAACAAGAAACAAAACTACAACCCAAAAAATGTAATTTTAATGGTTCTATCCTATATTTTCATGAAGTTCTTCTATCAAATATAAGAAAATATAGGACACCCTCTAACATTACTGTTTTTCTTAATTTGGGATTTTCCCTTAATGACACTTTCTATTATGTTTGTCAATATCTTTCAGACCTACATATATGAAGGGGTCGAAGCCAAGAGGATCTTTAAGAAAGAATGAGCAAGCTTCTTGAAGACCAGAGCAACCCTGAAGAGCTAAAGCTGTTATCAGACTCCTCTCTCCATCATGCTAATGCCAGGCAGGTTCATCCTTTCAAGAACACTGGCATATTCCAGTCTTGTCAAAGCCCAAAACATAAAAGCTAGTTAGGACTTCATTTACTTTATGTTCCTTAAGATATACATGAACTGGTATTTAAAAGGAAATTAAATATTGTTTTCACATTGCTTTATAAGTAGTGTTTTCTTTTTTTTAAACTATTTAGCACATGTATTTTTTATTTATTTATTTATTTATTTATTTATTTATTTATTTATTGAGAAAGGGTTTTCTGTGTAGCTTTGCAGGCTGTCCTGGAACTAATTCTTGTAGACCAGGCTGGTCTCAAACTTACAGAGACCTGCCTATCTTGCCTCCCAAGTGCTGGGATTAAAGGCATGCACCACCACTGCCCAGCTTAATGGCTGTTTTTTTTAATAGTGTGTGTGTGTGTGTGTGTGTGTGTGTGTGTGTGTGTGTGTGTGTGTGTGTGCTGAATTGTAATATTTTTGAATTGATATATCACATATAAAACACTTTTGGTTGTCCCTCAAAGCTGATCCTCAAAAAATAGGTCCTTTCCTTGTACACAAAATGGACCAAAATGCAGATGGGAAACTTTTCTTTTAGTAGATGAAGAATCTCTCCAGTTCTCTCTCTCTGGGGCTGTGAGCCAGCCTCATCCTGGCCATTGGGAACTCTTAGTTCTGGCCCAGTCTTAGGCTAACTAGTGTGAACTTGAGAAAGCGACTTCATCTCTTTGGGATGTACTTCAGGCATCTTTCAAATGAGGTGATTGGACTGGATATTTAACTCATATATGTATTCTGAACAACAATCAGTTACCCTTCCTTAAGCAACCATTAAGGAATATGCCACCACATAGAGAGTGTTGGGGTGTCAAAGATCATGGAGTGGGGAGAGAAAAATAAATATCACCAACATTGTTAAACATGGCTGCCTTCATGGGCTCACAACCCTTTTTGGCTCAGAAAGACCCTAAATTTGTTCTATGATGTATTTTTATTGTCTTAAGTTTCTCAGTAATAAGGATGGAGGCCTTGTCTTTTTCTTCCTTTTTTTATTTTACTGTGTGTGTTCATGTTTATGTATGCATGTGTTCATGTCTGGGACTGCTTGCATACATGTGTGCCTGGGTGTGTATGGAGGCCAGAAGTTGACAGTGAATATCTTTCTCTATTGCTCTTTACCATATTTGGGAACAGGATCTCTAACTGAACCTGGAGCTCATCCACAAGTGATGGGGGACCCTCCTGTACCTACTGCCCTCTCTGCATTGTGGTTAGAGAGGTACACCACTATGCCAAGGTTCTATGTAGGTCTTAGGGGTCATTACTCAGGTCCCCACATTTGTGCAGCAAGCACTTTATCCCCATGAGCATCTCAGACATCAGTCCCTTTGTGTTAATACAGGCCCTGCAATCTACTTAGCCTGTCCTGTCCCTAGGAGCTTCAAATGAACAACTAGACAATGCCAGCACGACATTCAGGGGCATTGAAGACCTAAATGTGTAGGTAAGGTAGCTGCACGATAGAGAATAGAAGCTAGAGGAGGTTTTGTGGGGATGGGAGGCAGGGTGGATACTCCAATTATGTAATGGGTCTTTACCTTAAGTAGATACTTGCTTTCATTAGAGTATAACAGTGCCATCTACTGGGCAAGGACATGGACTCTTTCCATTTGTGTTTTGGTATTGGCTGGGAAGACTTCTGACATACCATGTTCTAAAGTTTAAAATGATAATTGAATGCTTAAGTGGTTCCAAATTCCACACAAACAAAACTAATACAAAGACTCATTTTTATTTCTTCCTAAAGCTGCTTTTATCTACTAAATGGAAACACCATTAAAATTTTGTTCAGGCTACCTAAAATACCACTACCATCTTGAAAAGTGGGTAATTACACCATGTTTGCTAATACATGGGGTAATTTATTTCTACTTTGCTGCAGCCCCGCAGCCAACATTCAGGCTACTTACACAATTGGTTTTATTGAAGAACTGAATGGAAGGGAAGAGTAAGCATGGTAATGGCAGCTGAGAATATCAGGTGGCATGCAGCAAATCAGTAGTCATGGTAAGGAACTATTCCAGAGGGTTTCTCAGTTCACCTGTCCTCACTTGGGATTCCATTAGAACACAGGGTTGCAGAAGACCCACAGTATATAACCCAGATTACCAAGAACAAAGACAGAACTTCACGTTTCAATCTGGTAGTTCGGGTTTAGGACTGTGAGAAGGTGGAAGATTAGTAGAAATCAGAAGGGAAATGTTTTGGAATATTGTTTCAACTATGTAAATATGTGTTACATTTGTTTATGCCATTTGTTTATGCCGTGGAGCATTACTTTAACTATGTGAGAGTGTGTTACATTCATCTTTATGCTACATTTGTTTAATGATGTAAGGATGTGGTGTTACACTTGTTTAATTATGTAAAGATATGATGCATTTGTTTTACCTTGCCTGCCTAAGGCACCTGATTGGTCTAATAAAAAGCTGAATGGCCAATATCAACACAGGAGAGGAATACGTAGGGCTAGCGGGCAGGGAGAATAAGTAGGAGGAGAAATCTTGGCTGGAGGAAAGGGAGAGAAGAACAAAGAGAATGAAGGAGAAAGAGAGGGACATGCCAGAAGCCAGACAGACAGACAGAAATGGAGACCAAAGGAAAGAAAGGTAAAAAGCCCCGAGGCAAAATGTACATAAAGAGAAACAGATTTAAAGTAAGAGATGAAATATAGCCAAACATTCATAACTAATAAGAATTTGGGAGCTGGTTGGTACCCCCTCTGTTACAGGGAGAGGCCTGAGTTCTCCTGAGTCTAAACCCCATTTCAAAGACATATTCCCCAGTCTTCTTTCCAAATAATTCTACCATGCACGCACGCACGCACGCACGCACGCACACACACACATACACACCACAGAGACACAAACACACACACAGTCACACACTTGGATATACACACACAGACTCACATACGCATAGACACATACACAGGCACACAGACTCACACATAAACACACACATTCACACAGACACACATACAAACACATACATAAACAAGGGTGTGCTTGCCCACATGTGAAACCTCTTGCATGCTAATTCCCTGAGGGTTAAAGAGCAGACCTCTTCTTGGAATTAGGAAACCAATTGGTTATGTAAATGAGCACATGACTGACCTCATTCCTTTGCTTCCCGTCTCAATAATGTAATGAGTGTTTTGACCAAGGAGGTCCAAGGGCATAAGTGTGACACAGCACTTTTCCTCTCTATCAGATGATTTGAGCAGAAGGAATGAGAGAGCACAGCCCCCACGCTCCAGTCCAGATGAGTGTTTGTCCTGTTTGCTCTGGAGCATAGCTTTCACCTCTTTTGTTCTGCTTATCTGTTTAGTTAATTTTTCACACAATATATTTTGATCATGTTTTTATACTCTCTCAACTACTCCCAGATCCTCCTACCCACCCAACTTTCTCTTTCAAAACAAAAAACAAAAAACAAAAAAAAACCAAACACCCTCTCATCCCTGCAAAACCACAGAACCAAAAGCCAAAACAAGCAAGCAAACAAACAAACAAAAACCAATAAAAATGTGTCTTAAAAATATGAAAACAAAATATCCCCCCCCCCAAAAAAAAAGTCCATGGAGTTTATTTTGTGTTGACCAACTACTTCTGGACATGAGGTCTGCTTTGGTGTGTGTTTGTTATAAGCACTAAGACTCCATTGGAGAAAGCTGATTTCCCTTTGCCAGTGGGTATAAATTGTGGTCTTGGTTATGGGTAAGATCCAATGTCAGGTCTTCTCAGTGTTGGGAACCCTCTGACTTGAACCTATGAGGTCTTATGCATGCCATGCCACAGTCATGTGTGCATCAGCCCCATTGAATCTAGAATTTTTTACCTCTTTGATTGTATTAGATTTTCCCCCTTGTGGATTGAAAATTCTTTTTTTAAAAAAATTTATTTAATATTTTGAAATTTTTGTACAATTACTTTTGACCATATTTAACCCCTACCCAACTTCTCCCAGAACCAACCCCTCTTCCGTACCTACCCAACTTCGTGTCCTCTTAAAAACAAAACAAAAGAACACACAGAGTCCAATTTGTGTTGTTCACACATTCTCGGATATGTGGCCTTCCACTAGAGTGTGGTTGACATAGTAGTGGTAACAGTCTTAAAGAAAAGTGACTTACCTCCTTCCAGGATCTGTCAATTGCCCTTAGCTCCTTGGCTACAGATGGTACTCAATACTCACTTCCCTCTCCAGGCTGGGATTTGTTCTGACCTATCACATAAAACAAAATTCACAAAAGAAAATAAATGAAGCTATGTGTTCATTTTATAAACTCGTTCTATTACATACACCCACATCTGTCACCCTTCATAGACAGTATTAGTCGAGATATTCATTTTATAGAACCTAGAACCTCACTCAGTGTAACATGAGGATAGTTTCAAAATTGTCATGAGCCCATGACTCCTCTTACTACCAGAACTCACTGACTGACGTCATACAGAGCAGACTGAGACTAGCTCATTCCCTTACTTCTTTTAGATTATTGTTCACATAGCATCTACTTAGGTTCCTCTTTGGTATCTTTGGTGGGGCATGGGTATCATCCCTCCCTTCCACACGCCCTTCTCTGCTCTGAAATCTTATTTCCCATCATTTTGCAAGCTAGAATGTGTTGTGCTGTCACCCACCATTGACCCTCAGCAGCCAGAGGAAAGAGGGGGAGTGTTGACACAGAAAAGCTGTGCTTCTTGCTGGGGATGCACAGCCTCTAGGTTCAGCCCATTTCACCTCTATAACCGTGTCTCAAAAACATGCAGCTCTACTGCCCACATGGCAGGAGACACAAATTAATGCAACCCTCTCCAGAAAAATTTACAGTAGATAGAGACCGACAAACTGGCCTCGGTGCAGAGAACAAGGGGCTGTTCTCTGCACCGAGGGATGCTCCGCCCTAATGAAATATCTACGCTGTGCTGCACCCTCTCTTCCCAAAGGATCACTGATGAGGAGGGGAGGGGAGTCTAGGAGAGTCGGGGGTAGTGAATGAATACAGG